AAGTCCTTTCTCTGACTGGAAGATCACAAAGAATTTCTCGAAGAGAATATGTAGCTACGTTGGCAACAAAACCCTCTCTACAAAATGAGAGAGTTGTTAACTGATGAGTCAATCCAGCTTTTATAGCAGTTTATCTTCATGGTATTTCTAAGAGCATAAGTGTGTGTGTGTGTGTGTGTGTGTGTGTGTGTGTGTGTGTGTGTGTGTGTCTGGGAGAGAGAGAGAGACAGTCATGACAGGAAGAACACAGTAGAAAAAAACAAGAACATTTAAGCCAAAAGCAATTTACTTTGCCAGTAACTGGTTACATTTCCTTTGTTTTATTATTATTATTGCAAGAGTTGGGGTTGAGATGAAAGTTTCCCACACCTGCGCTGACACTTAACTTGTCAGAACCCATTGTGAAGTAAATATATAAATGAATGCCTGAAACTCTAAGTTTCTAGACACTTTAAGAAAAAAAAAACTTTGTTTTGCTACATTGTCCTTTGAAAGAGATTATAATTCATTAATAGGTGGAAGAGTTAAAAAAAAGAAAATAAAAGAAAAAAAAAACCCGCACGGGTTAGATGTCAAAGTAGCCTGGAGCACTGGCTGTCACTGATTCTCCTGGAATTAACACCTATAGAAATAGCAGTGACTTCACAAAGGTGAATACTTGTTAATTTCATGGCTCTGAGTAAGAGGAACAGATGGGCAGTCAGAGAGGAAAGAGTTTTTAAAAACCACAGAGATCTTTCACTGATTAGGCAGAAGAGTCAGTGGCCCACTGCACGGGAGCAGCTACATGGTGCTCTGATTAAGTTTTATTGGAATTCTATGGCTTTAGTGGAAGTCTTTTCACCCACTGCTGAGTCAGGACTGATGGCAACTGCTCTCTCTCAAGTCTGCAGGATGCTGTTTGTTGCCCGAGATGGGCTTCAGCGCCCTCGTGCTGTGTGGTATTTGTGACTGTTTTCATCTAGGGAAAGCTCCCTGGTGACTGCCAGCCCAAGTTAATAATGTAAATACCTCATTATGAGACAGAGTGAGTGAGTGAGTGAGTGAGTGAGTGAGTGAGTGAGTGTGTGTGTGTGTGTGTGTGTGTGTGTGTGTGTGTGTGTATTAGAGAAAAGTTTCTTAAAGCAGAGGCTCTGGATGAAGTCCACTTGCCTGGGCTGAAATCCTTCTGCTACCAGTAACCAGTTGTATGACCTGAGACAAGAAGTTTTGTCTCTATCTCAGATTCTCGGTCTGTAAAATGCGATTGACATTTGCGCCGTCCTGTTAGCTTGTTTCGAGTTTTATGCAAAGTGCTGGCTGACACAGAGAAAGTGCTCCGTAAGTATCAGCTATTATTATTCATGTATAATATTGAAAACATTTGTGCAAAGACTGTTGATTGAACTCTATGAATGAGCCAGGCCAGTGGCTAGTGGATTATATACTCATGGAAAAGTAACTGTGCGTTTACTGCTCCACACTACTTTTTTTTTGAGGTAGAACTGACTCGAGTCGATTTTGCTATTGGTCAGTGTGCTGCTGACTTCCAGAATGCCTTTGTTGGTAGAAATCAGTCTCATCTAAAGCACTGGAGCTGGTGTAATTCTGGAGTCTATGATTTAGGTTCTCTCAGTAGGTACTAGTCCTCAGCTGTCAAGAGAAAGGCACGTTTAGGTTGGTCCAGAGCAGCTGGGTCAAGGTGAGGTTGTTTTCTATGTAAAAGAATTAAAGATCAGAGCCTCCACCTTACCCCTGACCACCAGCACACCGTGAAACATTTATTTTCACTCATCTACCTAGCCAATGATTTGTTTTCTTAATCCTGTAGGAAAAAAAAAAAAAGAATGTAGCCTGGGGACCAGAACTTTTGCTCTCCCCAAAAGCCAGCCCCTTAATCCCAAAGTTTCACTTGAGTTCTTGTGGATCCAAAATGTCTCCAGATGTATTATGGAGGCTTTCATCCAGTCTTGCATGCTATGCCCCCCAGGGACTTTGAACATCTGCTTCTCAAGGACATTCGTTCATTGTATGTGAGACAAGATTATAGCCCCATTTAGATGCTAGGCACAATGGCTTAGCAGTCATCAGGTACCAAAGGCCATAGGTTTGCTGTCCCAATTCCTAGAGCAAACTCAAGTCACTGGTTGATGTTCCTAGAGCTCAAGGGTAAGTAGTAAAGGTGGTAGTAAAGGCGAATGCAGATTTAAGAGGTGCCCAGTGTGACATGTATGCATGTGGTCAGGTTGGCAGGCCCAGCCTATGAAGACAAAGGAGACGTATGTGGGCATCTGTATTTTCATTAGTCACTCATTCATTCAACAAATTCATATTATGAATGTCACCTCCTGGGTGTGTTCAGGGACAGATGAGAGGTGAATCCAACCTGGTCCTGCCCTCAAGGACTCTCCAATTTAGGATAATAATAAGCCATAAAACACAACTAAAGTATAAAACAATACAGTGAGCGCTACCCTGCATAAGAACAGGTCAGAAAAAGAGTTCAGAAGGCAGACTAAAAGGTATTTGAGTTTGAGACTTGAGTGATTGGTGGGATTTAGCTGACATACCTGAAATGTCCGTGTACTTGCCTTACTGGAAACAAGAGGCTTTTTTCTCTTGATCAAATCCCACTTAGAGTTGAAGTTTGTGTGACCAGAATATTAGGTGCTAGTGTGTTCTAAATTTGTAATTCTCAGAATCTTCTGGGAAAGGACATGTGCTTCTCTGGGTTCTGAAAACAGCTAAAAGAATGGAGAAAACAGACCCGATTTGGAGATGACTTATTGTCAGTTCCGGGAACCTTTGTCTTTATTTAAAACAGCCTGTTCAATGCAAGTTCTCTCTATCTAAAAGGCCTTTGGGATTTGAAAGCCTTTCTGGAAATAAATGCCTTTTAGCTTTATAAATGCTTTTTGCTGAGCTGTTATGAAGGAGAGATAGTAACAAGTCTTAGAACAGAGGCAATGTTGTTTCGTTTCTTCTAGTGAAATGCCTCAGACCTACCTTAGGTTTGTTTCTGTCAGCTTTCTGCTCGGCTATTATGTTGATAAGGGACACGAAAGTACATCCTTCCCCCGCAGTCATTAAAGTCTTAGCACTTGGAGCAGTTGTGGAAACACTTCTGTGCTACACCTCAGTTTTCAAACCAAAAGAGTCCACACCCTGGCTCCAGGCTAAGGACCATGTCAGTCTTGGAAGGTGGCATCGGGCTTTGACAGGGGAGCTGGAGGTCAGGATCCACCAAACAGGCTAGATGCAATCACCAACCCCGCACAGGGAGGTGGAGAGAGCAGAGTCCTCCCTGCCAGTCTGGCAACTCCAGCGAAGTCCTCAGAGCTCATCCCACACACTCCGTGCTAGTCACTGCTCTGTGTTTACATGAGTAATGGAGCTGCCGGGGGAGGGGAGTTGTAAGCAGAGCGCAAAGCCTCGCAGCTCTCATTCTGAGGGAAGCTGACATCCACACCAAGTCAAGTCGAGACTTCCAGGGACGTGGCGGGGGAGCAGTCAGTCACATGCTGTAGCTTTCATGAGCACAGACATCATCAAGCAGATGTTTGTCGACTGGAATGGGTAATCGCTGCTTTCTCTTTGCTTGATTTGTGTTTGTGAGCTTGTTTGTTTACCTTTGATATTTCCAGGCTGGCTTTTTTGGGGATGGACTTTCAGACAAATGTTTTGGGAAAATGAGAAGAGGAAGAGTGGATTTGGGAAGGGGCCCTGAGCCCGAGCCCCAAAGCCACTTTTAAAACTTTTGCCTGATTGTAAAGCAGACCTGCTTTGCTGAGCTTTAGGAACGGCCGCCTGTTATCCACAGTAGAAAATCGAATTAGTGAGATTAATTGTGTTTGTGAGATGAGTAGTACATTGTTAAATGGCCTAAAACCGCTGGTTAACTGGGGAACATGAGTAAGATTAACAACAATTACGAGAGTTCGAACTGTTCAGATTTGGCATTGTCAAAATCATACCTTAAAGTAATAAAAAGTGTGGGTACCTGGAAAGGTCTGAAAGAAATTGCTTGGGGTATAATTCACCCGTTTGGAATTCTTCAAGGGCTAGTTGGTTAGTTGGTTTGTTTTACTTTTGCGTGACTTGAGTGACTGATGAAGTTAAATGTGAAAGCTGATGCCGGACAGCCAGCCGCAGCACTCAGTAAACAGCAGCCTTTTTTTTTTTTTTTTCCTGTTTTCTGTATGGATCTAAAAGGGAGTCGAGCTCAACATCAAGGATGAAATATAACTTTGATTTGCATCTTGCCTATGGCTTTTAAAAAGTGTAGTCTCCGCTGAATCTGGCTAACCCCGCTGTGATCTTTGAAAGTTATTTTAAATAACCCTCAAGATCGTCATTAAAAAAAAACCATTGAAAAGGAAAAGAGAACATGCCGATTTAAATGTTATCTGCCAGATTTGTTTAGATTTGAAACATGCCGGCTACAATATTATTAGTAAATACATGTAATAATATTTTTTGGATTGTTATCATGGATGCCTCTCTATAGCTCTCTTTCTCTACTTATTTGTATGATAATTTGAGAAAATGCTCATGTCTCCACTTTCGAAGAGAGACGTTTTTAAACGCTTCATTACTATGATGCCATAATGGGCTGGCATATCACTTAGGTTTCTGAAAACAAGACTCAAAGCAGAAAACAAAGAATAATCTTGGAGCCTGGCTCAGGGCTGTCTTTTAGCCCAGTGCGTTGTGTTTCTTTTCTAACGATGGGGAAGTGCATTTTCCTTATCATTATCCTTCAGAACTAAGGGCTTCATTTTATTAAATGAATTAGACATGTTAAAGTATAATAGACTAGCTTTGGGAAAAATGTACAGAGTGTATGGCCGTCTAGGATGCAACCCTTCAGAAAGAGGAGCGTAAAACGAGGACTGGCTACCACAGATGAGTACATTTCTTGGCACATGTAGTGGGGAAGCACTGTAGTAAGATTCGTGGTTTTTAGTAAGGAAACTCATGCCAATGAAAATGTATATCAATTGTTCTCTATTTGTTTTCAGCGCCAAATCTTAAAGGCAGACCACGCAAAAAGAAACCATGCCCACAGAGAAGAGATTCATTCAGTGCTGTAAAAGATTCCAACAACAATTCTGACGGCAAAACCATCGCCAAGGTACAGTTGTTTCACACCATGGTGTTTATTTGGCTGCATCTTTTCATTTTTCCTTTTTTTCTTTATCTCTCCGCTCTTGCGTCGTGGGGGCAGTTTTCAACTCCAGATCTGACTTTGGTATTCACAGCTCTGTGTTCTTGCCACCTACCCTACCCTGGATGGTGAAGTTGGAGTGGGGGAGGGGAGTGCAGGCATTTGGATTAGTCAACAGGAAGATTTCCCACCTCCTAGTTTGGCCTGTTGGGTAAAGGATAGATGATTAAGCGCCCACGTCACTGAGGCTGAGATTTCATAGTAGGTGACACAATGACATAGTTTATTCTGCTTGTGTCAAAAATAGACCAGATGAACCATCCTCTTTCTAAATGTGTTCAGCTAAATATGTTTCAAAGATTAATAGAGGATAAAATTAGAAATGGCTAGATATAATCTTTTTAGTTATTTTTTTCAAAATCACCTCTAATTTACCTTAGAATAAAATTAAAGATGCATAGCAAAAAAATTTACATATACGTTTATACCCATATACACATTTAGATATTTTTTAAGCTCTATCTTAATGCATAATGAAGGTCCAAATTCTAGACTAATTTTTTAGGACTCGGGCCTGTTTTGCCGAAGCATGCTTTGGAATCTTGAAAGTGCATGCCTGAAGTGTCACTTCATATTTTTAGACTTATCTTTTTGACTTTTGTGGGCTTGGATCATATTTCCATGGCTCCGTTTACGGGTGTTTGCATTTAGGTGTTGTTTCTGTGCCAAAGACAACAATAGCCCCTTTAGGACCTGAACTGAAGATCAGATTTCAATTGATACCATGTCTCTAGATCCAAGGACTAAACTTATGAAAGTGGGAACATTTTGAATATTGGTGAATTTGGAAGATTCTGATGTAGAAAAACATGAATTCGGTTGTGTTGAAAATTTACTATTTTTCTACCGTGTACTCCATTCGTCCTTCCAATGTAATGAAGCTCATCCTAGAGATTCATCGTCTAGTATTCTTATTGTCAAGGATGTTTGTTTCATCAGGAAGTTCTGAGGACTTTTTGGTTAGGAATTCTTCATGCTTCCAAGATTACAAAGAGATGTGTATTTTCTGGCTAAAAACAAATCTGTCTTTCCATAAAGTTATTTTGTCCTGTTCATTTAATTATCTGCAAGTGAGTCCACCTCGATACCAAGTATGACCTTTTCTAGTAATTTGGACATTTTTAACTAGAATACCTTTCTAAGGCTTTGGCTTCCATGATCTTGAAGGATATCAACAGGAACAGTTTATTCCCTATGATGTGGTTTGCAAGATACTGAAGAATGGAGCAAGAAAGTTTTAGGATTGTAACATTCAGCAGAGCTTGTCCTGCCAATGTCTTGTGTTGGCACCCTGCCCCATACCTCCAAGGTGACATCATGTGTTTATACCAGCATGTTCTGTACTTGAGCCCAATAGGATGAAGTTTTTTCTCATGTAACTTATAATCATTACCAACGTATGCCTCTGGAAGTTTTATAAAACTCATAGAATTGACCTGAAAGCACATCCAGTATATCTCTCCATGGATGGCAGCTCTGGACTCACGCTAGGACCCACAAAACTGAAAAGAAGAGGAGCCCATTCAGTATTTGATGTTCACCAACTTATCCTTACAAGGGATAATAGTCAAGCCTGGGTTTTCTAAGTGACCTTTTCCACCCCACCTCCCACCAGTGCAGCCATTCAGAATTTTTATGAGAGGAAGGTTTATCCGTCCATCATTGGTTTCAGTGGTGAATGTGTGGATGACTTGCTACAGCCAGCTCCCAAGGACTGGTCTAAATGCCCAGCTCTTCTTGGAGTCTTGGATTACATTCCTGCCTTGGCTGCCTTCAGTGGGTCAGATAAGACCACTACATGTAGAAGAGAGAAACTGGTAGGTGTGAAATATGGTGGGCTTATCTGTTGGCACCAACCGACTAATGTAAAATCCCTACAGAATGAACAAGTCACATATGAGGCCAGGACAATCATTAAAAAGGCATTTGTGTCATAAAGTGGTCTTTTCTCATGAAATGCTGCAGTAGAGACAACAAGCTTGTGACCATCATCATTCGATGAACTGGGAGCAACATTTCAGGTGACAGTTAGTGCTCTTATGATCAAGAGTTGTTTGACGGTTTTTTCCCCAAAGATTCTCAAACAGACCATTTCTAACTATGGATAAACACCAGCTTCCTGCAGTTCTACACAGCGAAGCTTAGAGTGAGATTCACAGGTTTCTTGTGTGAATAACTAGAAAAGCAAGTCAGGAAATTTGCCTGTCGCCATCAAAAGGTTGTGCTCGGTCAATGTGAACATGAAAACTAGTTTTACAAGAATGAGAATTTCAGGGCTTTTCAAAGACAGCAAAAGTCATATGGTTAAAAAGGCTATCAGTTCTCTGAAGATGTCATGAATGTGTCTAACTCAAATCCTGCTGTTTCCCTTGGGGATCATCTTATAACAGCAGATCTGGAACCCAAGCCCATTAATATGGTAATCTTTACAAGATAAATCTTCTCAGCCGAGATCTATAATGAAAGGCCTCCAGTGATAGAAGGCAAATGATTTTTCACATCCTGTAAGCACTTTCCAAAGACCAGAAGTATATAACAGGTGGTTTACATTCTAAAAGGAACATAACAAAGGAAACCATGGTGTGCAATGTATTCTTTCATTTAAATCACAAACATACTTTTACTATTTCACAAATGTGATGCCTTCATTATTTTCAATACTTTTCATCCCATTTTGTTCACAGAACAACCCTCATGGTTTATCTTTCCCACTTTCCTGAGGAAGAAAACGAGGGTCTCCTAGCAAGTTCGTGACCAAATTGAAATTACTCTAGCTTCTTTCCTGCTGGTTCAGTACACTTTGATGCCCCAGTTGAAAGCTGGATTAGTTATAACTCAATCCAGTGAAAGGATGTGGTTAATATCAAATAGGTGGTAGTTCATTGAAAACATTAAACGTAGATTCTTTAATTAGCACTTCCTCAGTCACTTTGGAAACCCCAAAGCTCTTAGTGAACTCAACAAGTATAAGGCACTCAGCTTGGAAAAAACAGATCTAGTAATTAACTATTTTCGTCAAAAGGTTGGTCTTTCTTCAGGGCAACATGAAGGCTAGCTCCTGTTTAGTATTTCAGTACATTAAAATGCTGAGAACGTTTTAGGTAAATGTGAAAATGTGTAGAAAAGAATTTGGCATGGTTCTATCTAGAAACAGATACTATCCCAAAGGGTTCATTTATGTTAACTGAAGGAATATATGGAGCTATTCCGAGAAAGGAAGCCACTGCTCACTTCTTAGGAAGCACCTGGCCCCCAGGAGAAACCCGCTGCGAAGCCCACTGAGGTTCAGGATGGAGTTCAGAGGTGGCAGTCTGGCTTCACCTGGAGCCTTTTCTGTAAAGCAGGGAGTCTGAATGAGTTTGGGCCTGGTTTGTGCACCTCCTTCGTGCTTTCCTTCTGTTTCCAGGTAATTTCTGCACGGGTGAGGTAGAAGATTAGACAGCTATCCGAATGCTGAAGGGCAAACCTCATACTCCCTTAATAATGGTGTTTCTCACCTAATAATATAAATAATTGGCCCATTATCACTGCGTATTTCAGATCCAACCTGTTCTGTGTGTAAACCTCACATCTACCTCTGTTTGCATAATAAGATTGGGGTTTGGAGTAAGGGAACCCTGAATTCGAAACTCAGAGTTCTGCCCCACACTAGCCAAATGACGAAATATATAACTTTACTGAACTTCAGTTTCTTCGACTATAAAATGAAGCTAAATACCTGTCTTTTATGATTCTTATGCACATCAAGTAGACTGTGTGAAGCCCACAGCACTGTTTCTAGCTCATTGTAGGTGCTGGTTGTTACTAATTTCCTTCCCTTTGCTTAAAAGGCAGTAGAAGGAAAGGAGACCTTTTACACTCTGAAAACCAGGATAAACCACATGTCTAAGGTTTTGTGAAGCCTAGTCATAAGATATGGTTTTTAATTGAAAGTGTGTTTTAACTACCAATTTCATATTTTTATGTGTCGGTGAAGTATAGTGTTTAAAACCACAAGTCCTATAGTGAGATTATCCGGGTTCAAACTCTAAACTCGCCTCTTACTAACTTGGACATGATCTTGTGATCATGTACATGTTATTCATCTTCTCTATACCTCGGTTTCCTCTAATATGGGAATAATAACTTGCCTCATTAGAACTGTGAGTGTGAAATGAGATAATACCTAAAAAGTGCTTAGAATTGAGCCCGGCTACATAGAAAGCACTCAAAAAACATTTGAGGCAACATAGATTAAAACCAGAGTGATTTTATGATTTCAAAAAGCAATGAAATTATAGATTTCATCAGAACTTTAGACTCAACAGTCTATAATTTGGCAGTGAAAAATGATGACATCATAAAGTTTTACAGGATGTTCAGCTTAATATAATGTTACAATGCACTGAAGTTTGAATTCTATAAGTAAAAATTCTACATGGAAAAATGTTTTAATATCATTTCCACAGCCCCTTAAAAATTAAAATCTTATCTAGAGGCCCAGTTGAATGAGTTGTGCAGGAAGTTTTATTTTTAGCAGGACCAGTCTAAAGGTATTAAACTAGCATGTTCACTTGAGAGACTAAGCAATAAAGAAAAACCTATTTAAAAGAATATACTTTCCTGTAATAAATAAGCCTAACCTTTTATGTTCTCAGTGCTTGGGAAGGAGAATCTGAAGGGAAAGAAAAAGAGGGGTCGAAAATCTGAAATGGAAAACATTGAAAGTGCGGGACATTTTTATTCATATTTCTCCAGTACTTGCCCTCTTTTCTCCAATGTTAGATATGGAAATGTATAGAATATTGGAATGTACATATTCCCCATGGGCGCACTTGAACTCAAAGTTTGACCCTTTGTACTTCCCCCTTTTACAATTAAAATAGCTCAGCAACTTAGCGTTATATTTAACAGCCATCAAAGGCCTCTTGTAGAACATGGCATTGAGGAGGGAACATTAGGTTAGCCGCTCGGTATGCCAAGTTCTATATTGGCCTAGAGTGTGGAAGGAAGAACATCTGGAGCATTAACTGCCATTCATTTTTTAATTATGGAGCTTTTCACTTACTCTTCTTGGGGTTTTAGTTGACCTCTTCTATCTCCTTTGTGGCTAGTTCACATCTCCTATAATATTCTCAGAGCTGACTGAAAAGCAAGAAGCCCTCATTAAAGAATGGGATCTTTTGTTCCCCACTGAGGGTGGATCCAGCTTTACCTTAGATGACAGACAGCAGAGACCTTGCTGACGTTCATGATGCCAACATCTGCTGGCATCATGTTTTTCCAGTTTTGCTAGAAAGAGTAGCAACAGATAAGTTTGCTATGAAGAAATCCACTTGCCTTTCATTTTGATAAAAAGTGTGAAATACAGGACTATTTATTAAGAAGGCAGATTTTGTTCAATGACAGTAACAGATGGTGCCCCTCGGGAAAATAAACTGTGTAAAGAAAGAGGCAGGAGGATGGTCCCACCAGATGCAAACACTGTTTTTCATTTCACATCAACATACATATAAGGAGCCTAAAAGAGGCTGGCCTAGTTTGGCAAACTGTGACCCACTGGCCACCTGTTTCTATAAATAAAGTTTTGTTGAGACACAATTACACTCATTAGTTTACATATTGTCTATGACTACTTTCACAGGAGAGTTGAGAAGTTGCGACAGAGATTATGATGGCCCAAAAGCATACAATATTTACTACTTGGCCCTTTATAGAATAAATTCACCATCCCCTGGTCTAAGACAATTCCTATTCAATGATGCCTCCAAAAAGCTATATCAAGGCAAGGGTGATTTATTGATTCACTCTTCCCACTCAGTGAAAAGCATCACTAGCTATGTCTTTGTAAGCATTCCAGGGCTGTTCTTGATTTGATGTGGCATTTTTTTTCCCTTTTTCAGGTGAAATGTGAGGCCAGGTCTGCCTTGACTAAGCCGAAGAATAACCATAATAACTGTAAAAAAGTCTCAAATGAAGAAAAACCAAAGGTTGCCATTGGTGAAGAGTGCAGGGCGGATGAGCAGGCCTTCCTGGTGGCACTTTATAAATACATGAAAGAAAGGAAGACGCCAATAGAACGAATACCCTATTTAGGTTTTAAACAGAGTAAGTATACTTGTTTTCGTTTTTGAAATATTAAAACTGCTCAGATTCTTTGAGTTGGAAAAAAATATTTTTGACTCAGGATTATGTTGAAATCCTAATCTAGAGATGATGCTCACTGTTTATGCTAAATCTACAAATCATCTAAGCCAGGAATTTTTTTCCCTGCCTCTTTCCGCTACATTGTTCCCTTCTGGGGCAGTGAGATATTTATAGGCTTGAATCCACTGATTATGACTGGAAATAGACATGTTGAAAGTTTCTCATTTTCTGTTTTGTCAATCTTGAGTGTCTGTAACGCCTTTCTTCTGAGATAATAATATGACGTAGCTTTATCAGACACAGATGTTGTCTGTGAAAAGACAGCTTTTTAAAAGGAGGACATTTAAAGGTGGACAAAACAACAAAGAGAAAACATTTCTTAAGCCCCAAATTTGTTAAGAAATAACAAAAACCCGATGACTTCAGAGGAAACAAGAAATGCACAAATTTGAACTGAAGGCCCAATTTTGAATTACTCTGACATGTACATTTAAGTGTCCTCATATATTTGTAAGTAGAACAGAGAACTCATAGCTAAGCAGAATTCCATAGAAAAAGAGAAGAAACACAGATCCTGTCCTTATTTTACAAATGAATATATATTTTGCCTCTGTCTAGATTTTGTGTCACACAAAGCATGAGCCTCTGGCTTGAAATAGTATTTTCTCCAAACATATCTTCCTAGATTAAAACCATGTGTCATTTTGATGAAGAATGTCAAACCTGCATGTTTTACATAACAATTTACATACCTAATAGCAATTGGCACTGATTGCAAGAGAACACTCACAGCCATTATAAACTTATATAACTACGAATGATTACAATGTTTGTCTGAAAACTGGTTGCTGGAAATAGAAGTAAAATTAATGTACTATGAACAGCTTTGTTGCATTATGCATTGGTTCAGATTAAATCAAGGCCGAGGCAGGGCTCTTGATAGCTTTGAAATAGTGCAAGGTTCAATGAGGCTTTTCAAACGTGTTATGTCAAAAAGCCTTTAAATTTTTTTTTTAATTTTATTATTCATTTCTCTTACCAAGGAATTACTTGAAGTTCAATTTTCCCCTCTTATAAAAGAATCAAATCCATAACAGTCTTATTTCGTGGTATTTGGTACAAATGAACAGGGTTGCTAGCAATTTGGCATAGTTGTTTAATGGCCTAAACATATGCAAACCCTGTAAAGAGAAATCCGTTTTTAAAAAATATATTTTTGCAACATCACACAGGCAAGTTGGGGGACTAAGGAGACTCATGACTCAATTCCTCTGTGATCGAGTATCTTCCTTCCCTTTGATCTGTTGTATCACCGCTGCCTCAAGGGTGAAATATTTGTTTTCCTACTCATTGCAAGGCACCACATGTTAGTGAAATATGATATGAGTTTTTAATATAGTGCTGCCATCAGACCTTCTATTAAAAAGATAATCATATATTAAAGTGGCTGTTATTTATTGATTATGGAGAGTTCTTATCTGAAAGAAGCATAAATAACTGTTTAATCAATGACTTCTTTTTAAATAAGGGTTGAAGAAGACCAACCCCAATTTTGAAAATCACAGTTTTCCCAAGGACACTGTAATTTAGCTTTTCTTGGTCTGCTGATGGCAACAGGATGAAAATTGTGTTGTTCTTTATCCTAAAAGTAGAACCATTTCCGTATTTGTGACTGTTTCTTAAGAAATATTTTAAGTGGTAATAATATATCCTGTTGTTGAATGCCCTTTGGCAAATTGTTTCCTAAGAACTTAGCTCTCTGGGGTACATTAGTATTTTTTTTTCTCTCTCTCATTGAAAAACAAAACAAAACAAAACAAAATGTTTTAATTGACATTTCTTGGAAATATGTTAATGCAATGCTTATCTAAATACTTATTGTCCCTCTAACAGTTAACCTTTGGACTATGTTTCAAGCTGCTCAAAAACTGGGAGGATATGAAACAGTAAGTGTTTAAGCAACTTAAATAAAATAATTTTGCAATCTAAACCCGTCCCCCCACCCCCCCCCCCCCCGCCTTTGACCAAAATGGAGAAAATGAAAAAGCAAACCATCATTGACTGCTTTTTCAAATGGCTCTACACTTTTGGGGGTTTATTGGGCCGCTTTTGGAAACAGTCCCAATTAGTTCCAGGTTTGGCAAAATTGTAAACTTGTCGTAAAAACTACAAGTGGAAAACATATGTAACTCTCCCCTGTCAGGGAAATTAGTTGGGTCTGTAATTTTTTCCCATGTTGAGAAAGGACTATTATTGTACAACAAGCCAAGATTGCATAAAAGAAATTTCCCTTGGCAACATACCTGACATCTGTTCATGTCTAATATGGGAAATGTATTAAAGGCTTTCAAAAGTAATCAGTATTGGCCATTAAGGAATAAAATGCAGCAGAATCTCCTCTCATTCTAAGGCAAAGAAGCTTTATTAGACAAGGGTCAGTGCCGCATAAACAGGAAGTTATCAAACTTATTCAGAACAGGCTCTGACACTCTTTATCAGCTAATTCTAACTGACAGGAACGGGTTATTTTTAGCCCACAGGAAAATATGATGGCCACAGATTTTTACAGCATGTATTTTGAACCAATAAAATGTTAAAGCAACAAACTAAGATTAAAATCTTGAAAGAAGAAAGAGCTACATTAATATAGCACACAGATGACATCTGTAATAAAATCAATTGACATAGGAAGATGTCGTCATTGGAAATATTTTCTCCTCCACACAATGATCAGATTAAGTTGTGCAGTTTCTTCTGCAATTGAATAAGAAATTGTTTTTTTTTTCCTTACGAAGTAACCTGGGATATCTCTATATTGTGGTAAAATGACAGTAAGAGACACAAAGTCAAGAAAATGAAATTCATTTTAGCCCAAACATAATAACTAGTGTTTCTGGCTAGATATAGCATATTGTTTCACAAACTAATATAATGGTTTGATGTCAGGGGCTTGGGATGGGGAAAGATGGCAAGCATTATATGATTCAGATAATCAGGTGTTTACTGTAGAGATACCTGCTGTGAATTCTGACTAAAAACTCTTTGATGCGAATATATGTGCATGTAATATGTTTATTTAATATATGAGCTACACATATATGTTTATTAGGAAATATAATAGTGATATGAACTACATATAAAATGTGCATTTCATAAATACAAATTTATTTGAAATATTTGTTTTATCAAGCGCCCTATGTAAAAATAAATAATGTAATTTTTCATTGGTTGGATCTGTTGAAAGGACAAAGAGACCGACTGCTTGCAACTGTGGGCTCATAGTTTTGCAAAATCTTGCACTAATTATAGCTCTCACCTGTGTGAAAAAGATGATAACTTATTCAGGGTTAGTCTGATAAATTTAGAAGTTAACCTCATAGCCTAGACTTTTAAGTCTAACTTTTGATGTTAAGGATAGGACTATACATTTTTATGAACTGTGACTGCAGATAAGTTGCATGATATTGCACAGTATTACAAAATGTCTTTTTAAACCCAAGAAATCATTATTATTCACTGATAGGGAGTATGCCAGCAAATTTCACAGAATCAGTTTTTCCTGCATTTCTATCTTCTGTATCTTCGTAAGGATTCTATTTTTTCCCCTCCATGTAACAGCCAGTTAGTTGGTAGAATGTATAAAAAAGCTTCTGATAAGTTTCAGGGCATTTGCAATACTCTTTGAACAAATAATATTTATTCTTTTGTTGAATGAATGAATGGACGAATGAATGACCACACATTTAGCAAATCACCTAATCACATATTTACTGAGTGTCTTATGTGTCCAATGCATTGTGTCAAACACTCTGGGAGATGCAAAAGTGTCTAGGCCAGTGGTTCCATTTGCTTACCATACAGGAGAGGCGGGCATTATAAGACAATGTGGGAAAAGATCAGAGCCCTAGTCAGGTAAAGCACTTCCTCACTTAGATATGAGAGAAAGAAGACTTATGGCTCTGATGCCATTTGAGTAGAATTTTGGAGAACGAATGGAATTTAGACACGAAAGATCATGGTCTTCCAGGAAGAGAAAATGAAATGGGGAAATAAAATGTGGAGGTAGAATAAAGTTGGGCATCGAGAGTTTTAGTAACTTAAAGCAGAGTGACTAGGTGGCTGGGACAAATGACCATGAAGGAGAGTCCAGAGAGAAGGATGGAGGCAAGTAAGGAGAGACCTTGGCTGCAGGAGATGCATGAAAGCTTGGTAGCAAGCTAAGTGTTATGTGTTGCCATTTATTTTGCCTTCACTGTGTGTTTAGGTAGAGTAAAGTAGAGAGAGGCCGGAAGAATGTGGAGACCAGATTGGCATCTGCCTCTTATCTGGTTATGAGCTTCATGTCTCTTCAGCCAAGCCACGAGAGGACGGGCAATCTCTGGGATGGCCCTTTTCCTTCTTCCTTCTCCACTCACCCTTCAACTCCCTCATTGTTCATTGGGTCTTTGCCATTCTTCACAACAACACTCCAAATTTTTTCATCTCATTTCAGATAGTGAATCTACAATCTTTCTTAAAAAATCTACATATGGGGACATAAACCGGATGAAACCAATTGATGGGATTTTCCTTCCCTTTCTCTCGCTCTCTTTCCTTCCTCCCTTCTTTCCTACATTCCTTCCTTTTTTCAAATGCCTCATACTACCTGTTAGCCCTGTGGGCACTTAAGTTTGCCACTTCCATTCAACATTTAAGCTTTTGAATCTCCTAAGTACAGAATACATTTTTCTGTTGGTATATTTTGGTGAATAAAACTGTGAAATGTTCAGCGAGGATTCAGTTTTGAAGTTAGTCCAAAAGATGTATGAAAAATATTCAAAGTCTGGGGACTTAAGTTATCATCACAGTGTTGTTACCAGAGGACACTTATCAGTGAAACTGTCTGATACCAGAGCAAGTGTAGACTTGTCATTTAGAGCTCAAAAGAGATCTTAGAATCTTCTAGATCAGTGGTTCCCAAAGGCTACTCAACAACGGGGGCTCAAATTTTTAATACGGAACTTTAAAGTATAAGTAGTTGTCTAAGCCTGTACTCTGACATATTAACTCTGTGGTGGTGCCTGAGCCTCAGAGCCTGAAAATCTCTCTTTTAAAACTGCCCAGGTGATGTTAATGCAAAGCTAATACTTAGCTTACTGGTTCTCATGGGCCCTAGCTTCAAAATGTGGCCCCCATTTAAATCAAGCGTCAAAGATTAGAAAGGTATCTTTATGCTGCTAATAAATAAACATGCCAGCATATTAACATTTCATTGGCTCAAAAGCAACACCAAGTTCCCAATGAATGTTTTTCCATTTGGTAAAGTGGTGATATAAATTGAGAATCGGTAAGCTATTTTCATTCTGAGAGAAGGCGCAGCACCCTAACATTTCATTTTTTATGAATTGGTGTTGAAAGAGATTCTTGCCATGCTCCAGTTCATACCTTCATTTTGCAAATGAAGAAACTGAGGCACAAGTAGGTGAAATGAATTGCATGGGGGTCATCATACATTTTTCAGATTCTGACCTGCTGAGAATTTGTGCACAATTGTCTCAACCTCCATAGCACCACTGGAAGGAAAGAGATTCATAAACGATTATTCTTTGTGCCTCCCATTCCCAGCGGTCTCTTATGTATCTAGAATGCTTTCTAGATACTTTGGATGATGTTTTGGAAAAAGGATCTAATAACCTACCTTTGAGAGTAGCATCTTTCAATCAGTTCTCTGTATCTTACATGATCCTTAGTAGATAAACTATTACTAGCTGAGATTTTATCTGATTCTTGAGAAAAATGTGTGAATTTAGGAGATGGGTCAAGAAGTCTGGATGATGTAAATATTCAGTAATAGTAAAAAATTTCAAGTTTAGAATCTGTAGCTGTATCTCTTCTGCTGTTAAGTTGTGATTGGATAAAGGCATCTCTCTGGAATTCCCTCTGGTTATAAAAAGAAGCCATTTTAATTGGTTTGTTTTTGTTTGTGGTTATAAACTATTTCAAACCTTCTGGTTTGAATTGCGGATTATGGATTATTTCACTTCAGTTCTTTACAACTCTCAAATTGAATTAAGAAAGAAGAGCATAAGTTTTATTTTAAGTCTTTACAGCATTCTACTAATGTCTATATTCAGTTCTCTCGGCCTCTTCTACCTCTGCTGGAAATGTATATCGTATCTCTGCGTCCTTAGGTTTAGAGATCGTGAACGTATTGAATGGATTCGATTTCCTAAAAACCAATATCCTGGCATTTTGATTGGTTGGCAATGAGGACCCTTCCTTTGTAGTCATGTATCCAACTTCTCCTCCTAAACATTTTCAAGTATAGGCACCTACAGTTGAAGCAGAGCTGGATGAAGTTTTGCTGATGAGCTAAGAGGCTTGCCCTTCAGTCTCTGATGAAGCAATTAAAGCTCAAAAGTAGCTCGAGGTATTACCAGGATGCAGCGTGTAAAGGATGATTTGTTGAAGTGACTTCTATTTGGCTAACCATTTGATGGCATGCCAGAGGCAATATTTGGAGAGAAGGTAGTAGGGCAGGGAAATAGGTCTTATCCTAAAGGCAGAAGACTCCAGTCAGGAGTGCCTTCTTAGAGCGTCAGCTAGCAGCCCCATCTTTCCCCAGGGGTGAGAAAGGATCATTATTTCACATCTGGGAGAAGAAATCACTTGTCTTCCTGCAAGAAGGATTAGGCTTTGACAGTATTTAGACACCCTCTGAATCTGACCCCAGTTCTTTGGACAGACGAAGACTCTTGCTTAATTCAAAGTTCTTGAGGCCAAAGATGATGTCATATAGTTTTGAAAGGCTCCAGTTCCTGGAGTACTACCAGGAAAAAAAAGTCATCTTCCTTGAATTCTGTCCGCCCTCAAGGTGTCCTGAGAAAGAGGCTTTTTCTCAGAGCAGCTGGGGCAACACTATTTGCAGGAAAACTCTTCTTTCGACTTCGAATTTCCTACACATTCTTAAGCCATGGAAACAGTGAAGTCCTGAAAGATTTCTGATTACTGTTTCCTCACCAGGCCACAAAAATTCCAAGATTATTTCATCCCTACAACCTCAAAGTTAGTGAAATCAAAGCACTAAGACCGTGTCTTGGGTCAAAACGGTTTTTCAATATTTTTAAGTGACAGGATATTTTCATCAAATAAATTGTGAAAGGGACAGTTCCTTTCCCACGTACTCGACCGGTTTTCTTGGCAGGGATGGGCCTTGTGGAGAGTTCGTTTCAGGCCACCTTACAGCATCACCTGGGTTCTAAAGAGCAGTTTGAAAACCACTGTATTTATGAGCAATAAAAACTTCACGAACGTAAAAGGTTAAGAGAGCTTTTCACAGTTTCTTGGGTCTTACCACACTAGGGAGAGAAGTTAACTGTCAAGTGTCTTCAAAGTGAGATGCAGCTTCACACATGCTTAAACTGGTGTATTTTTCTTGGGTGTGGTCTGCTCAGTTTTTCATCTTGCTTTATGGTTAATCGTATGGGGTTGTGCTTCCTGCTAAATTATGGACCCTTGAAAGCTGTACCATCTCCTTCTTTTCATGATATCTCTCTCTACCCTCAACTCTCCATCCTCCCCCGTCCACCTCCATGCCTCTGTACTTGGCACAGTACTCTAAAATGGGACGTAGTAGAAGGTGAGTTGATGTCATGAATTCCTATCATGCCCTAGAAGGAGATGATAGAAGCACAATCCAAGAGAAATAACTGCCTGGATGACTTTGGCCATTTTCTCTAGGAAGCAAAGAGCCAGAAGTTCTTTGTATTCTTAAAAACCTAAAATAAAATAAAGGCCAAGTTGAAATGGGAACATGACCAGGAGGCTTGAAGCTTAGTGAGAGAGTTGATTACACTAACCCCTTGGCTAGATTAAACTTTCCAGCCGAATAGGGCTGGATGCTAGATATGGGGAGGCAGACCTTGGTTCTGCCCTAGGTGGGGGTTTATAGCTAATATACATCCAGAGAGGACATTGGACAACAGACTAAAGACCCTAAGCAGATAATTAGTCACAACAAAAGTATAATAGTACAGAAGGCAGATTTATATAGGTGGGAACACGATGCCCAGTACCTGGCTGGGAGGCTTCCTCCTGTTCTTTTCTCTGTCCTTATAAACTCTGAGACCCATTATAAGTTTGGACAACCGGAAGATTTAGACATTTCTTGCTTTAGAGCCCATAGTCAGCATTTGAATTAAAAATGCACCTAAGCACAAAAACTAGAGACATGTACCCAAGAGAACTGTGTACTTAAAAGCAGTTGGAAAGAGCACATTTTACGACTTTCCTGTGGAAAGAAAATATCTCAAAATGGCCTGATTTATCCAGACAGGCCAGAGGAAGCGCAGTAAACAGAGAGACCACTTCCTTGAAGGCCCAGCCCTTGTCCTCACTCCAGATGAGTACTCAATGGTAAAATTGTATTTAAAGACCAGAACCTGCTAGCGGGGAGCTAACGCAGACCTCTAGCCAGCTCTACATGGCTTATTAACACCAAGTGGTGCTTGATACTGGCTTCCCACTGCCATAATTTCAATCCTAGGGTGAGGAAGATTTTTTTCTTTTTGATACTTCATTATTTATTTTTCAAGAAGTTCTGTCATCTCTGTGATAGGCAAGCATTTAACAAGGATTCCCTTGCCTAGATAACGTCCACACATTCAATATCCCTATCAGCGGTAGTCGCTTCTTCTTTACATTTTTCACAATCTGTATTATTTTCTTTATATATTTGGTCAGTTGTTTATTTTTGGCATCCTCCACAAGGATGCAGTCATGTTGCATGTTGGGTCTGGTTGTTATTGTTGCATCTCAGCTGTTAGCATAGTACCCAACAGATGGGAGATGGTCAATAAATGGTGAATGAATGGATGAGTGAATGGATGGATTCAGATATAATTGGGACTTACCCATGACGCAGTGGTGAACATAATAAAAAACCTCTGTTGTAACTAGAGACACAAGTAGTCAGGGTAGAAGAACCATAATTTTACTTGCTACTTCAAGAGAGTAAAATCTCAGAGCACTGTTAACCTGACCCACTCCTTTATATTTTTGCTAACCTCATAGCTATTCTAATTGCCCACTAGCGAGAGACCAGAAGCCCAATGTTGAGGCCTTGTAGCAGAAGGTGTGCTTCCCACATTCATCTGTCTCATTTGAAGCAAAAAACCCTCAGAATTCTGTTATTATCACCCTGCTATATGCGTGGGCTATTCATCAGTTCATTCTGATGTGGAGGCTGCTTTGATATAGTAGAAAAAAGTCTGCTCTTGGGACCATAAGACATCAGTATAAACCTTGGTATTGCCATTCTGCTGCTGTGTGCCCTTGGGCAAGTCATGCAACCTCTCTGAGTCTCCCTCCCTTCTGTGAATGAGATTCCTATAATCTGCCTCACAGGCTGAGAGGATTAAATCATATCATAGATGTGAAAACTATAAAATATGAAATACAGCACACACGAGATACAAGAATGACAAAAGTGATGGTTTCTTCTGAAGTGATTGCAGGCACATACGTAGGCTGTTTTCTGCCCTGCTGGGCTCCCCAGGGCCCACACACCTCATCTGAGGGAAGGG